ACACGATATCGGCACGCTAGGCCTTGCTGACTCTGCCAGAACTACAGGGCTGGGCTCGTGGCTACTTCTTACTCTCCGGGCAAGCAGCTCCCAAGTTAGATAGATGGACACAAAAAAACTACGGAAAAATACCTCAATTCTAAGGCTGAAATTTTTTTAAAACAATCATTGGTGAGTATATGTGGGTAAGTGTGCACTATGTGTTCATATGGAAGTCAGAGGTCAAATAAAGATGCCAGTTCTCTTCTTCCATCATATGGTTCCTGAGACTGAACTCAAGCCCAGCTTGACAGCAAGCACTTTTACCCAGTGGGCTATCTCACTGGCTCAATTCTGGGATTACTTATCCTAACAAACTTACCATACTTAAGGATATAAACTATCATTCAGAGTACAGTATTCAACGGGGATTATGCTAAAGTCACCAATCCATCAGATGGAGGTACCTCTTTGAAATCAGACATCAAGTACAGGACTGTCACCCTGTCGGACACTTAAAAACGTCACATAAGGGCTGGGAGGTGGCTCAGCAGGTCAAGTGCTTGCCAGCACAAAGTCCACCACTGCAAAACAAAACAAGACAAACACACAAAACACCCCACCTGGTGTGGTGGCACATAGCTGTAATCCTAGCATTTTGGGAAGCAGAGGTAGAAGGATCAGGAGTTCAAAGTCATGCTCTGCCATCCAGAGAGCTGAAGACCCGCTTGGGATGTGATATGCTGTCTCAAAAGAAAAGGGGCGTGGAGGGGGGGGAGCCTCACCTTAGCTCATCAGTCCACTTATTGCAAAGAGAGGAAACCAAGAGCATTCTGGAAATTACTAGAAATGCATGTGGATTACTAAAATGTAGCTTCAGGTGTCTATAAAGAACTCAGAGGTCATTAGCACTAACCAATGCTTCATTTGAGTGACACACAACAGAGGCTTGTGGGAAAAGTAGGAAACCTGAATTCTTCAGTCAGTGGGCAAGTGTTAACTAAGAGAACCTAATTTACTGGACCCATCAAACATAGGAGTCAGGTGGAGCCTGTCTAGGTTCTGCTCAAGGTTACCCCCTCCAGAGTTCGCTGTCAGCACCAGATCCTGCCTGGCTGCCTGCACAACAGCACCCACGTGGGACCCCACTCCCTCCCACCACTCAGCTTCGCTCAGTTTCGTTCCACCAGGCGGGTGTCTCTGGGTCTACACTCGGTGTACCGTATCAACTCCCCACAAGGGACTCGGTCAGGTCGTTAAGGCCCAGCACGTTCAACAATGCCTGGTACACACACACAGTCTTCCGGTGGATCAGTGAAGCATTCCAACACACAGGCAAAATCTGAAATCCTAGGTGTTATTTTAAAATACACGTTTCAAGCTGGGCGATGGTGGCATAAGCCTTTAATCCCCGCATTTGGGAGGCAGGGGCAGGCAGATCTCTGAGTTCGAGGCCAGCCTGGTCTACAGAGCGAGTTCCTGAACAGCCAGGGCCACACAGAGAAACCCTGTTTCAAAAAACAAAAACAATCAAAAAACACAACTTTCAACAAGCTGAAGGTATAGGACTTATTATTAACGCTTATAGAAATTATACTAATATGTAAGAAACTACCGAGTCTAAAGTCCAAAATCAAATTAACACCAAATCTGGGCTCTACTCCTTGCAGGGTAACCTTGCTTAGCTTTTTTGGCCTCAGTTTCCTCTTGGGTAAAATGGCAATAAACACTACTTAGTTCAGTGTCAACCAAAGGCACAGAATGCTCTATATTATGTAACATGAGCAGGGAAGAGAATTGGGGAAAGATTTCGTTCAGTATTACCTCCCACAATTATAAATTAAAAATAGGGACATAGGAATAAGAAAAAATTTTAACTTTTTATTTATTTTCTGAGACAGGGCATCTCTGTGGAACAGTGGTGTTGTCCTGGAACTCACTCTGCAGCCCAGGCTGGCCTCAGACTCACAGAAATCCACCTGCCTCTGCCTCCCGAGTGCTGGGATTAAGGGCATGAGCCACCAACTTCCGGCTTAACTTTAATTTTAAAAATAAAATGTTTAGGTTTGATGGCTCATGCTTTTATTCTCAGCACTTGGGAGGCTCAGACAGGAGAGCAGTCACAAACTCAAGGACAGTCTGAGCTACACACTGAATTCCACGCCAGGCTAGCTTAAATTAGTGTACGCAAGTCACAAGCAGAACAAAGCAGAAAAAGAAACAAAAAGCAGAAGCAAATAATATACCAGATGGTTTCTTCTCTTTTGAAAGAGTAAGATTGTTTTCTCAGGGCTGAAGATGGCCCAGTGGTTAAGACCCACATTTGGTTCCCAGCACTCACAACTACCTGTAACTACAGCTTCAGGTGATCTGGTGCCCCCTTCTGACCTCAGTGAATCCATCCACAGCTACCACTCCCCCCAAAAAAAGACATAAAGACATACATTTTTAATAGTAATAGGATCATAAATATTATAAGTTATTTTCAGTAAGAAACATAAAAATGTACTGCAAGCCCAAATATCACTATAAGCTGGGAAACACGTAAACCCAGGGCAAGGACACAGCGTGCTTGTAGGTCTGAGGGTGCAGGGGCTCCCTGGGACCAGGTAGGCCAGCCAATCGCTGACAGACACCTCCAGGCTACCAGGCTCGCCTGGAGCCATCTGCACCTTCCACCGCTGGAGGCTCGGCCATAAGGAGACAAGTACAAGAACAGCTCACCAGCTGCAGACACAAACCGAGCAGGCAGCACCTCAGCAACCTGCACTTGAGAGTCTAGAGTCTGGCTTGATGTGGCAGACAAGTGAGTGCGTAAAGCAAAGGTGACCTCATGGTGAGGTCAGACCTGAAGGATGTCAGAGACCTCATCAGTTTGGGACATCATCAGGAGTAGGTCATTGCATTGGTGGTACTGGAGTAGGCTATCACTGGCTGAGTTGCTTGTTCTTTCTTTCTTTCTTTTCTTTCTTTTTTTTTTTAAGATTTATTATGTATACAGTGTTCTGCCTGCATGTCAGAAGAGGGCACCAGATCTCATTACAGATGGTTGTGAGCTACCATGTGGTTGCTGGGAATTGAACTCAGAACCTCTGAAAGAGCAGTCAGAGCTGTTAACCTCTGAGCCATCTCTCCAGCCCTAGTTGCTCGTTCTGAATTTGTTCCCAGTCTACGACAGGTACCTAAGGAGACTTCACAGGGTTCAATTTCCATATAATTGTACAGGATCAAGAGAAACAGATTAAGAGACATTTCCTACAACCACTTGGCAGTTAAGACAAGAACCTGTAGCTCACACTTGCAATCCCAGCATTTGTGGGGATAAAGCAGAAGGATCCTGGTAAATGTAAGTTCAAAGCCAGCCTGGGCTACAGAGAGACCCTTTCTCAAAAATAGAAAATGCAAAGCAACAACCGTCTACAGCAGTATTCTTTATTCTTCCTTCTACAGCCGAGGCTTTGGAACTAGTTTCTATCGTGCCTCAGTTTTCCCTTCTGAGATAAGGAGCTGCCATCCAACAGAGCGACTACTGCTTTTATGGTAAATTAATCCACAAAACTAACAACGCTAAAGGAGGAAGCTAAAACCTCACATTCAAGTAAACAGGATCTCCGATTTACAGACCAATTCGCAGAGCGGTAACTCCTTTGCTCAGACTCAGAGGTGACATTTACAATGGCCATTCATTTCACTAAGTTCACACCAACCATGCTGTTGGCAGACAAGGCAGACCACAAAAAGGTCACAATAAGTCACTGTCGGTAACTGAGACTTTATCCAAGCCAGATGGTGGTTAAAGAAAATCAGATTGGGTTCAACATCTTGAGATTTCATCTCAGCTAAGACATTGGGTAGTGATTGGGCAGGCATAAAGTGCTGACCGGAGAGAGGGGAGTCTTAAAAGCCAGATGCTAGTAGGGTAATCCACAGAGGTGAAGGAATGGTGAAGAGGGTACTGACGGATTAAAAAAAAAAAAATGCCCACTGTGCAACTCAAGATGGAAAACGAGTATGTGTATTTTGCCCAGCGTTGCCTTCCATGACTTATTCTACAGGTCTATAGCGCTTTACTTCAATGAATGAGCCTGAGAGGCTGCAAAGCACGCAGGATCCAGATCTGAGGCGCCACCCTCGGAGGTACATCTGAGGGGCACAGGTCAGTGCTGATGTCACCCTGCAGATCCAACTGGCTTGTACCTCTCAGGGTTGGATTCCTGGGGTGAGGACTGAGCCCAAGACACCCACCCAGGCAGGCAGAAAGGAAGTCGGACTTCCTGGCCCATGCCAGCACGGCTCCGCGTCCCCATCGCCCGCCTGAGCCCATCCCCGCTCTCTCCACCTCCCAGGTGCTTCCACACTGGGTATGGGCGGCCGCAGGGAGAGGGCAGCCCGGCCCACTCACCGCACTCAGGGTACTGGTCCGCCCAGTCCCCCGACTGTGGGCAGCCGCCGCCCGCCGGGGCCTCTTGCTGCTGCCGGTGCTGAAGCTCCTGCTTCAGCAAGGACAGCGGAGAGTAGTGCTCAGTGGCCCGCGCGCAGGCCAGCGCCCCCAGCAGCAACAGCAGAAGCCACAGCACCACCCCGGAGCCCGAGCCACCCCAGCAGCCGAAGCCACGGCCGGCAGGTGCCATCTTCCTGCACGGCGCAGGCGCGGCCGTGCTCTGCCAGCCGCGGGCAGGTGGGCGAGGCGCGCGACCGCAGTACCCCCCGGGAGTCGTAGTCCGCGTCCTCTCAGCCTCAAGCACGCAGCCACCATCCGGACTACAAGTCCCAGGAAGCCCCTGCGCGCGCCTTTCCAGGTCTAGTGAAGGTGACTTCCGCCAGAGCCCGGAAGTAGAGACTGTATTGGAAGCATGGGGACGGGCGGGCGCAGGGGGACGCGGTCCGGGAAGGGCACCGAGGGCGCGGCAACGGCTGCCTCCCCTTGCTTGTACCGTTGTATCGAGTGCAACCGGGAGGCCCAGGAGCTGTACCGGGACTACAGCCACGGCGTACTCAAGATAACCATCTGCGTGAGCGCTCCGGGGGCGGGGCGCGGCCAGGGAGGCGAACCCTAACGCCCGGTGGTTGGGGGCGAGGCGCGTATGATGGTGGGAAAGAGAAAGCAGGGGTTCACGAGGACATTAGCTAGACTTATGACCCTCGGGAGTGCTGACGCCTTTCTGTGACTCCAGCATTCCGCTCTCATGCCTGGCAGGATAGCGAACTCGACGCCAGCCTGGATTACCTAGGGAGACCCTGTCTCAAACGAATGAATGAGTGATGGAGAGATGTGATTCCCTAGGGAAGTAGGCCCTGTAGCGGGAAGCGTGGCATTCTCATGTTGAGCCTGAGGAGGTGGAACCAGTGTTTCAGGGCTGGTGCTTTGAGACTTCTTCTGTGTCTTCTCAGGGTACTTGTCAGTGAAATAGTAAATGTACCGAATGGAACAATTTAACCAAAATAGAAAGCATTCCCTTCAGCCAGGGATGTTGCTCAGTGGTAGGGTGCTTGCTTGGCCCAAGTGTGTGAAATCTTAGATTGCAGCTCCACTACATAAACCCATGAGACATGGGGGTGCACACCTGTAATCCCTGCATTTGGGAGGTGGAGGCAGAAGGACCAGAAGTTCAAAGCTGTTTACAGGTGTGTGTTTGTGTGGGGAGCGGAACCCAAGGTCCCTGCCAGAACAGCACAACAAGTGTTCCTAACCACTGGACCATTTCTCCTGTCCCCTACACAATGATTTTGAGGACAGTCTGGCTTAGAGACCCTACCTCAAGTTTTTCTGTTTTTTACTAAAAGTAGTAAACTTCCAGATGGTTGTTCTGCTATGTGTGTGTGTGTGTGTGTGTGGGTGTGGGTGTGGGTGTGGGTGTGTGGTGTTTCCTCCTTCTGTTCAAAGTGAAGGCAAGAGGAAAGAGTAGAGGGGGCACTGAGGGGATAGCAAGCAGTCCCACTGATCGAGATCAGCTGACTGGAGTGAGGTCCCTATCTGTGGGGTGCTGTGGATGAAGGCACCTGGTACTAGAAGTAACCTCTTTGGTTTCAGGTCATCAGCATCCTTCAGATGGCATGGTAGCTTGCTTTCTTCCCCTTCTAACCCTGAGGGGAGAGAATAGTGAGGCCAGGTAGTTAACTTCTTGGTGCCCATGAAGCTCTGAGAAGGAGAGAGTGCTCTTGTGATCGCCTAACATCACTGCATGGGTATGAGCCAAGTAAGAATACTGAAGGAATAGGAGCTGTGTGTCCTGATGCCGGCTTTCCCCTCCTGCTTCCAAAAATTATCTCCCTCCTAATCTAAGTTTGGGGTGCTTTCTGAAAGTGGGATTTAGATAGCTTTTGAAAGACAGGGAAAGGGACTTACCACCTTAACAGTTTTTTTAAACAATAATGTTGCATCTCTGGGCTTGGGCCTCATGTGAGAGGAGGAGACAGGCAAAGGAATGGGGATCTGGGAAAGAGCTTTTGTCCTGAATTTGTGATTAATCTTTAACTCAGTCGTTGCTCAGGTAATCTGAAAAAAATATGAACCTCTGTGCCTCCATTTTGACAGGTAGATTGACATTTAAGGAAGTAGCACAATTACTGTTTGCCCCGGTAGCTGGGAAAACATGTTATTTTTACAGTGGCGTGAGTGAAGTGGAGAATCTGTTTTATTGTGTTGAAGTACAGGGTGACAGTTCTCCAATGCACTTGGCTTTCCCTCTAGGTTTTGATGTAACTAAAATGATGCTGGTATATTTGTGTGCCTGTTATTACTATTTCAGTTTCTCTCTTATCTGTCAGCCTTTCAGAATGTCCTCTTTGGAAGCTAAGTGAGTCTTGATTTGTGTGGCATAGACCCAGGCTGTACAACCTGAGTTCATGCACAGCACAGCACTCTCCGCTATCTCTGTGGTAGGAGAGAGAGGAGTGTGTGTGTGTGTGTGTGTGTGTGTGTGTGTGTGTGTGTGTGTGTGTTTTCTAGGTTCTTGATCTCATTGGAGAAAATTCCAGGCTTTGGGTCGTGGACACTGTACCCTGATCTTGATCCAGCTGTGGCTCAGAAGCTAGAGACAAGAACTTTGTTGAAAACCTTCCTCCAAATCCTAAGCCGCGGTCTATACCACAGCCTGTCAGCCAGTGTGTTAGTAATTTGCTTTTTACAAAGTCATACAAACCAAAAGTGGAATTGAAAGAATCTTCTAAAATACTTTGTGCCTGCCATGGGTCTTTAAATCAAATTCTTTTCTAATTTTTTTTTTTCTGTTTTGTTTTGGTCTTGAGGCAGGATCTCCCTAGTCAGTGCATGCTGACCTCAGACGCAGTCTCCTCCCACCTCTGTGTCCTTAATGCTGGGGTTACAGCTCTGTGTTACCACACCTGGCTTTCTTTTTGGATTCTTGAATATAAATTTAAAATATTACTATTTTAGCTGAAAGCTAATATTTTGTCATCGTGAAGCCACTTCTTACATGGGTGAGCATTTTTAAACTGAGGATTTTAAATAGATACTTATACGTCTTGTCACTGGGAAAGTCAATATTTAAGTCCTTTAAAATTTCAGAATGTATTAATTTATTTGCTCTAATATTACTTTGTTTTTTTTCCAGAAATCTTGCCAGAAGCCAGTAGATAAATACATTGAGTATGATCCTGTTATTATCTTGATTAATGCCATTTTGTGCAAAGCTCAGGCCTATAGACATATTCTTTTCAACACTAAAATAAACGTAAGTTTGGTAGTTTAAATTTTTATTAGCATTCAGTCTATCCCAATTATTGCATGGAATATACTTAAGACAGATTATTTGTTGTGAGCCTAAAATTCAAATTTAACTGGGCATATGTTCTTATTTGCTTAATGGGATACCACTGGGTTTGGGCATAAGTAGACAGCACAGTAGTCTGCCCCTCAAATAATCAGGGTCCTTTTTTATTTTTTTTTAAAAAAAAGATATTTATTTATATGAGATGAACACTCTCGCTGCATGTACACCTGCAGGCCAGAAAAGGGCATCAGATCCTACTACTGATGGCTGGGAGCCACCTTGTGGGTGCTGGGAACTGAACTCAGGACCTCTGGAAGAGCAGTCAGTGCTTTTAACCACTGAGTCATCTCTCCAGCTCAATCAAGGCCTTTAAAGTGCCCAGAGTGTTGATTTTCAAGCTTGCTTCCACACTGACAATCCCTGGGTGGGGAGCAGGAGACCTCCACAGCCAGCTCAATGTCTTTGTGTTGTGTGGTGTTTTTCTCTTTGGGCTCTTTAGTCTTTGGACTTTTGGGGGGCTCCACCCAGCTCCCAGATATATCACACATGGAGTCTTATTCTTAGTTATGAATGCCTGGCCTTAGCTTGGCTTGTTTCTTGCCAGCTTTTCTTAACAAATTATTCCATCTTTCTTTGGCCTTGGGTCTTTTACCTTTCTCTATTCCTGTATACATTTTCTTTCCTTACTTCATGTCTGACTGTAGCTGGGTGGCTGGCCTCTGAATTCCTCCTCCTTCCTCTCTAGTTGCCAAATCCCTTTCTCCCAAATTTCTCATATTTATCCTCTTTGCTTGCCATCCCCTCCTATTCCTTTCTCCTACCTCGCTATTGGCCAATCAGCTCTTTATTAGCCATCAGGTGTTGTAGACAGGCACAGCAACACAGCTTCACAGAGTTAAACAAATGCAACAGAAACAAAAGTAACACACCTTGAAATAGCACTCCCCGACATCTTTGTGGATGGCCTCCACCCCTTCCTAGATGCTTCCAGAGTGCAACCAGAGGACTGTGTGCCAACTGAAGAGCCTCAGGCCTGGGACTTGTTAGCTCAGGTTCACACGTGCTTTCTCGTACCCATGGTAGCTTACTGGAGAAAGCTCAGTTTGCAGGAAAGATCGTCAGATTGGGAAAAGCCCATTCTTACCACGAGATGTTTTCTAGTTCAGTAAAAATTTTAGTATCTTAAGAGGTTCCAGCCCATTTCTACCATATATATTTTTCTTTTTCATTGACTTAATACTCATTCAGCCCAAAGGCTTTGTTTTTTTTTTTAAATTCCTGTTCAGACTAATGGTTTATGTGGTGTTCTCAAATCTTTAGATTAGCTGGACATGGTGATGCACACCTTTAATTCCAATACTCAAGATAGAGGCAGGTGATTCGAGGCCATCCTGGTCTACACAGTGAGTTTCAAGACAGCCAGGACTACACAGAGAAATCTGTCTTGGAAAAACGAACAAATAAACAGAAAAAGCTTTCAATTAAATTGATCCTCTAGTGACTTTTCCACCGGTGTCAGCCACATATATGTTGTATTTGGCTATGTGCGGATGAGAGCTGGCTGTCATCAGTAATCCCTATAAAAAAGCAGTAATCTCTATAGGAATGAACATAGGGTCTCCCCAGGAATTCTGCAAAATACACCTATCCCCGTCTTACTCCTAAAAAGCTGACCCCAGACTGGGTCCTCTGATGGCCAAGTTTGGAATTCCTTGTGAGGTTCCAGTAGACACTGCTAGTTAAGAACTTCTGACTTACATGACTAATGCAATTAACCAGTTAATAACACTGGAAAATCCACATGGGGTATTCTTGGTACAACTACTGAGTCGAATGTGGCACACATGTGTAGTCTTAGTACTCGGAAGGCTGAGGCAGGAGGGCTATCTGAAGTGTCAGACCAGCCTTGGCTACACAGCAAGACTAATCTCAGAAAGCAGAATAAGCCCTACAGCTGCTTACCTGCAGTGTGCCTGTCGGCATGCAGTCAGCTGAATGCTTTACCTGACCCGAGGACACTGTCTTTGACTGTCAGATCCATGGGAAACTCTGCATGTTTTGTTTGCTTTGTGAAGCATACCTGAGGTGGTGGCAGCTGCAAGACTCAAGCCAGAGCACAGCCCCTGATGACCTGATTCGCTATGCCAAGGAGTGGGATTTCTACAGGATGTTTGTGATTGCTTCTTTCGGTAAGCAAGTGCTAACCAGCACCTCACTCTCTGAGTGAAGCTAAGACACACGGTAAGACAGCTGGTGCAGGACTGGAGACCACATCTTCAGCTCTGACTAACGTCGGGGAATATGTCTGGATCACCTGCTTTCTTTGTCTTAAAAATTTGGTAGAGAGATAATAACAGTGTGCTAATCAGACTAGGACATTTTATAAAATACTTTAAGCCATTTTTAAGTTCTTGAAGATTGCGTCAGGTTCTCTCACTGAGGACACATTAATAACTGCCTGCTGTTTCCCAGTGCATTAGGCTCACTGCTTCATGCAGATGTCTGGCTATAAGTTTGCTGCTTGTGGGACTACATCCAAGGAATCGAACAACTCCCAAACTTACCTGTGTGTGGGAAGCGTCTCTCATTGAAATTGAAATCCATGGTTTTCTTGCCAGGGTCTACATTGCATTGAGTTCATTTCTGTGACGACATTTTTAGTTTTCATCCTTTTCTGCCTCAGAGGCCTCTGGATTAAGCCAGGCTGAGGCAGGCACCTGTGCTCCAGCTTCTCTGGAGGCTGAGGCAGAAGAGTTGCTGGAACCCAGAAGCTTTGAGGCCAGTCTGGGCAACACAGTAAGACTCCATCTCAAAAATAAATTCAAAATAGCCCTTCAGCTGATCACAAGGCACTGTTTCAGGAAGTCTCTGAGTGTGGTACCTTCCACATCTTATTCTAGACCATCTGCCCTCTTTTGTCCTCTCTGTCTGCCATCATCCCTGCCCTCCCTTGCATCTCACAGATCTGCTCAGAACTCCTAGGTATCCACATCTGACCTAGACCTTTCTCCTGACCTCTGGACCCTGTGTCTACCTGCTTCTTACCAGCCCCGCTAGACAGCTAGTAAGTTGCCATCTCTAAGCCTGGTCTTACTCTGCCTCCCACTACAGATTGTCAAGATCAAAGGTCTTGGGGTCCAGCCTGAAACCTCTTTCTTTGAAGCTCTCTGTTTAGTTGTTGAAAGCCTCATTTATTCATCCTTCAGAGTAGTTCTACACCTGCTTCCCAGTGCCTCCAGATCCGGCTGGGACTTTCTACAAGCTAGAATAACATGGCTCAGACCTGATGCTGTACCACAAGGTCTCTTCATACAAAATGTTCCCTTTCTGATAAGCCCAGGGCCCACATATGTGGCTCTTTCCTACTTTCTGTATTCTGGCAGTCTTCACAGTCAGACCAGCCCCTTCCTCCCATGGATCTCACTGCACCTTCTGCCACCACTCCAGCCCGCTCTAACCCAGCTGCTTTCGGCACATTCAGTGAGCCTCCAGCGCTTGTCCATGATGTCCCCATGTCTGACTTCCTCATATCTCTGGGGTCTTGGCTTCAATCTTATCTTGGTGATACTTATCCTGATAACACTTCCCCCTGATAGCCCTATTTACTGCTGTGCTGCACTGTGCCTCTCTCAAGATGCACACTATCTCACCTAACACAACTGCTGTGCTTATTATTAACTTCTTACTGATTTGCCTTCGTCTACTTACATTAAACCCAGTGAGTGTTTGACCTGCCGTGACTGCTCGGTAGACATTTATCTGAGTAACTAAATAAAGGATTGCATACAGATGGGCGTACAGTTCAGCCTAAGCACTTGCCTCGGTTAGACCAGGGTTACTCACTCGCTGTCCAGCATCGCTGCCCTTATGTAAGAACTATTCTGTGTGCATGTAGTGATCTGGAAGCACCAGTGGGAAAATACAAAATACTAATGTTCTCTCCTTTTGCGGGTTAGAATCCAGGGTGGGTTGTGCTTTGTTTACTTGGATTTATGACTGTTTTAATAATCATAATACATATTTAGTCTGTAATTAAGATATAATTTGAATTCTATTGCAACTTTAAAAATTAATGTGAAAGCTGGGCGGTGATGGAGCATGCCATGAGACAGAGGTAGGTGGATGGATCTCTGAGTTTGGGACCGACCTGGTCTACAGAGCGAGTCAGGAGAGCCAGGACTATTTCACAGAGAAACCCTGTCTTCAAAAAAATCAAAAACTTAATGTAAATATTTATTGTCTGTTGAACTAAAACTTAAAATATACAGGATTTATTCTCATGTATGTCTTACAGACAGTAATATTGAGAAAATACTCGAGGGGACTGGACAGAGCTCGTTGGCTAAGATTGTGCACTGGTCTGGCAGAGGACTGGACTTTGGTTCCCAGCACCCATACAGGGTGTCTCACAGCTACCTGTAACTCCAGCTTCAGGGGATCAAATGCCCTCTTGTGGCCTCCACAGACACTGGCACTCATGTGTATATACCCTCACATAGACAGGCACAGGTAATTAAAGTAAAAAAACTTAGAAAAGAAAGCTCAAGCATTTCACCCAATCCAAGGGTAAAACACAACGAGATTCCAGGCTTTAAAGGGAAGCCTTCTCAGACTGCTGGCTCACATCTGGATCCCAGACAGGATCTCAGAATTGTTTTGGATTTTGTTTGTTTGTTTTGATTTTGTTTTTTTCAGAGGATTTCTCTGTATAATCCTGGATGTCCTGGAACTCACTCTGTAGACCAGGCTGGCCTCTAACATCACAGAGATCCGTCTGCCTCTGCCTCCTGGGTGCTGAGACCCAGAACTTGGAGGTGCAGTAAGGTCAGAAGTTTTAAGACCAATTCGGGCACTGTAGCAAGGCACCAGTGCCCACCCCCAGCCCAAAAAGAAAAAAGGAAACTAAAACCTATTGAAATGTATTCCTTAAATCATGCCAGCAGGATGTAACACAAAGCCTGTGTGTGCATGTGTGCACGTGTAAGAAAATGATATTATTAAGATGTTTCTTAGGACATCTGCTGAGTTGGAAATAGGATTTCTTTGTTTTTCAGGGGTTAGATATGGGTGAGACAGCTATATTTCTCTCATTTGCTCCATAGAACAGGCTGCCTTTTTTGCTGGCATTTTTGCTTTCCTGTGGGTCGAGCAACCCATGACAGCAAAAAAAAAGCCCAACTTCATTCTACTACTGAAAGCACTGCTGTTGTCCAGCTATGGGAAGCTCCTGCTCATCCCGGCCGTCATCTGGGAACATGACTACACACCCTTGTGCCTCAAGCTCATCAAAGTGTTTGTCCTGACATCGAATTTCCAGGCCATCAGAGGTGAGTGTGTGCCCTTTCATTAGACATGTCAGCTTCTAGCTGTTATGGAAGGCCGAGGTCCTGGCCCCAGGGCGTCAGAGTTGCAGAACATGAGCTCTCCACAGACCCATGTTGGTCCTGAGTGTGTCAGTTGAGCGTGACACACAGCAGTCGCTTGGGTTATCCAGTTCAGCTATATGGTGCTGCGCGTCTTCAGAGCAGATTCACGCACACCGTCCTCCCGTGGGCCAGGCCTCAGCCTTTGGTTACCTCCACTTCAGGAGTGGCTTTAAGGGGCTGTGAGGAGTACATGGCTTGCACAGTTGCAAGACTGAGCAGATGTCTGGCCAAGAGAAAATGTCGGGTGCCTGCCAGAGAGTCTTTGAGGCACTGTGAAGAGCACTGCTGTGAACTGCTGTTCTTCCTGCTCTGTGGCACTGCAAGTGGAGCTTCCTTTCTGAAGAAAGTGTCAGCTTCTTCAGACCTTCAAGTTGAATGGTGATGGTTGTTTTGAGACAGTCTCCTTGTGTAGACCCAGCTGCCCTTAAACTCAGTGCAGTCCACCTATATGAACCTTCTAAGTGCTGGGATTACAGCCAGGCACTGCCACACCTAGATTTATTCTCTTATTTCATGGCTTCTGCCTCTGCTTGAGAAGTGCTTGACAGTGGTATTAGAAGCAGAGACTTCGTTTCAGGACCTGTAGGGCAGGGCGGGTTTCCTCAGCTCAGCACCACGCAGCACACAGGCCCTGCTGTCGTGTCTCGGGAGTTCCCTGGACACCTTGCTGCCTTTGTTTCCTAGTGACTCTGAACACCAACCGCAGGCTGTCCCTGCTGGCCGTGCTGAGTGGCTTGTTGCTGGAGAGCGCCATGGTCTGCTTCTTCCAGAGGATGGAGTGGGATGTGGGCAGCGACTGTGCAGTCTACAAGTCTCAGGACTTGTGAAGGTACTGGAAACAGCTGGTCTCTCTTAGTTAGCATGGCTACTCATTCCACAGGAGGCACTGTCAACAAACCAGAGAAATGGTTCCACCCAAGTCTAATTGTGGGAATCGGGATCACTGATAGGAACATGTCAGTTTCCTAGGCATCTATACCACCACGGAAAGTCTTCCTTGGTGTTTGTTAACTGCTGATGTATCCTGGCGAGGGATGGGGCCTGTGAACCTCTCCCCATAACTGAGTACAGGCCTGTCTCACATGCATAGCTGCTGAGAGTTGAGGACACGGCAGTGTCGTGCCTGGAGGTCAGCATCCCACAGAAATCCTGTCAGACATGGTCCTTTTCCACTAGATAGTAGAGTAGTGTGGCTGAGCTGGTGCTGCCTATGGCCTGTGCTCCAGGCTCTTTCTCCAGCACTGGGTGGCTGGGCCCATGTTCTCTTGACTCCGTCCATCCAGTGATCGCTGGCTGCTGCCTTGTCTAGCTGCTCCTCTCCTTCCATCTCCCATCTCTTCCCCTCCAGATCCCCTCTACTTCTGACTGTCCTGCAGCTCTCAGCCACACGCGAACCCTGAAGGAAGCCGCTGAGTGGTTCTCTGCCAAGCCCTCGAAATACTTATGTTTCCTGCCTTCCACTCTGCTTGCTGGCCCTGTGTCTACACAAGGTTCAAGATTCTTGAAAGGGTGGGCTCCGCTGGTCATGTGATCTCAGCAGGACTCAGTGGCCTCTGAGAACTATCCAGTCTAAGGACCCAAACCCTCCCCACTTCTCAGCCACACTGCTCCCTGTGTTGAGAGTGCAGTAGCTATAGGTTCCTTCAGCTTTTCATTGGAGAGCCCTCTTCTGTCATCCTTCCTTCCTTCTCTTGTCCTGTTTTCTGCTGTGTGCAGCTCCCTTTGGGACTGCTTCTGACCTGTGGGCCCCATTCCTCCACTTGAGGAAGCAGGATCCTCGATTTGAGAAATGCAGGACCCATGGCAGGGAAGGGAGGCCACACTCCTGCTCATTCCTGCTTCGGGCCATGTCACCTTGCATGTGGAGCTCTCAGCCCCTCACAGCCTGCCTCCTGCTGTGCTTTGAGTCAGTCCATCTTCCCTCCTTCTGGGTCTTGGAGGTTTGCTGCTGGACCTGTCCTCCTCTGTGTACGTGTGTATACAGTTCTATTCTGGACATTCCGCCTGAGCTGCAGCTTTCCCTGCCTCCCCTTTACACGCCCTGGGTCCACAGGCCTAGACTTCTCAGGAGCCACTGTATCTGTGTCCCTCGTGGTCTGCTTCTCAGACCTGCTTCCCTGCTGGTACTGGAATTCTAGCCCCAGATCCCTCTGCTCTGCCCAGTGCTGGGCCCTGTCTGCTGCCTGACACTTGGTGCGTCCATCCCATGTGTTCGCACTCCAGCTGCTACTGGTTTACCCTTCTGCAGAATGCCCCGTTCACCCCTGAGGAGGGACACCTCTCCACACTCCATCCTGGGCCTCTACCAGCTCTCACAGCAGCTGCCTCCATGTTTACCCTAGACCACCAGGGCTGAGTTTCCTCAGTGCTTTTGTACATCTGGTTGTCTGCTGTGGTTTACAGGCAGGAAAGTCAGCTCATGACCCTGTAGAACCCACTGCAGAGCCAGTGGCCTGCTGTATTACTGTGTACTTTGTTCGGTCTGCGTCTCCTTGAAATTACACTGGGAGAGACCCTGCTCTGGGCTGCCCCGTGTCTTCCGTGGCTCCCAGCAGCCCTGGAAGCCGGTCTTGTATGCTGACCAGAACAGGCCCTCAAAGTCGTTCTCTGCCGCCCACAGCTTTGCTCTTCACTCTGACGGGACAGCTACCTCAAAGGAGAAGGCACAAGAGAAACCAAGGTCGCTGCTTTCTGTGAGTGGAGTGAAGTCAAGACTGGGAATTCCTGAACAAATCCAGACACCCCAGGAAGATCTGAGCCACCTAGACTCCAGGCTGAGAGCCCTGCAGTGACACACGGGCAGGCCCCGTGGTTCCCAGTAAGGAACGGTCGCAGCTTCATTCCTTTGACCTGTTTCCTTTAAATCTAAGTATTACATTGATGTCTTAAAAATCATATTTTGTGTTTTTCTCATGGAAGCACTTTTCTCTTACATAGTCTTTCAGAATAAATGACTTTTTTATACATTTCTGATTCAGTAACTACAGTCTTTTGAATTGCCTGAACCAGAAATAACCGAGTATCTTAGTTATTTCTCTAATGCAATGATAGAACACCATGACTTGGGTACGTTATAAAAGGAAGTGTTTAATCCAGTTTATGGTTTCAGAGGCTTAGAGGCCATGATGGCGGAGAGAAGGAACAGCTAAGAGCTTACATCTTGATCCACAAGCAAGAGGCACACTGAACACTGGGAATCACAGGAGTCTTGGAAACCTCAAAGTCCACCCCAGTGATACACCCCTCTCCAACAAGGCCACACCTTTGAATTCTTCACAAAATATATGGGCCTACTGCATGGTGGCATACACCTTTAATCCCAAAACTCAGGAGGCAGAGGCAAGTGGATGTCTGAGTTCAAGGCCAGCTTGGTCTACAAAATGAGTTTCAGGACAGGACTGTTACACGAAGAAACATCTCAGAAAACCAAAATAGATGTATGGGATTGTGGGGACCATTCTCATTCCAACCATCAAAATCAGAAAAGCCCTGAATGGTACAATCTAGAGAGGTTCTATCCCGGAAGCTGCTGCTCGGAATCTCTCCACCCTGTCTCCATACCCATCTTCAAATGCCCGGGCTCAGCATCTTCCCCTGCCTCTGTCTTCTGAGCACTAAGGGTGGTGCTCAGCTTTAAACAAGGAATTAGAGCCAGGTGATGGTACACAGTGTAATCCCCTCTACTCCAGACTGAGGCAAGAGAGGAAGTTCCTGGCCAGTTTGGACGGCCAGTGAGGTCAAGGTCAGTTTGAGCAGCTTAGCCAGACCCTGGCGCAGAATAGAAAGGACTGGGATATAGCTTAGTGCTAGACCCTTGGCTTAGCATGTGTGAGATCCTGTGGCCAACCAAAGAGGTTAGAGCAGTCTGCTCAGTATCGTCCTATTACTTAACAAAAAATGCTGAACCAGTCAGCTACCAGTGGAGTGGCGTGTGAGAGGGCTTTCCCTACACTCAAACCATGTCTACGCGGTCAGCTAACATCCCCAGCGTTTTTCAGCATTTTTAGTGAAAACCTTGAAAGACAATTATGTTGCAGGGTCTTAGTAAGAATGCATGCCTGCCTCTAGACTACAGTCGTTAGCTTCATTTTGCTCCGAACTTCTCTTTGTGTGGTTGGTTTTGGTTTTTGTGTTCACAGACCTGGGTTGTGCACAGGGGCTTGCACATGGTTTATTCAAGCATTTAGTGAGCTGGCTCAGGATAAAGGACCTGCCGCAGAGCCTGGCCATCTGAGTTAGATTCTCAAGACCCACCTGCTGAAAGGAGAAAACCAGCTTCTTCTGCAAGTTGTAAACACTAAATATGGATTAGAACAGGGGGTGCGGAGGGGACCTGTGCCCTCCAGGAAGTTCTGCCCCATGACCACAGTGACAAACAGGCTGAAGCCAGGTGTTGCCCTCCCTCAGTCCCAGCGCTCTGGAGGCTGAAGCAGGAGGACGGAAAGTTTGAAGTAAGCCTGGGCCATATAGAATGACCCTGTCTCAGAGGGAGAAGGCATAAGCTGTGGAGAGCCTCCAGCTAGCTCTTGTTTGAGACCACGCTGCTCATAAGAGTGCTGCAGACGGTGCAGCCACGGGACAGGTGCTCTTCGTTACCCGTGTCTGGAGACAGCATCGTACACGGGAGCCCACAAAATGGCTAATGGGCGTGCATAGGGTCACACCAGAGCAATGACAAGACCAAGCGCCATTGTTCTTGGTCTAATGGACCTATCTGTCGCCTAGTGGCGGGTCTCGGGGGTCTGTATTTCTTCATTACGAAAGAGAACAATACTGTTCTTCAAATACAGTGCAGAGAAGGGAGGCGAAAAGGAGTTTGATCAGTAGAGGACTAGACCAGGTTGAAGCGTGAGTGTCTCCAAGGGAATCGGTGGTGAAAGGAAGTGAACATGTTGCTGGGACCCTTGACAGCTGCACCAGTCCGGCCCGTGCCTACCCACAGCCTTCATTACAGTGAGAAAATCCTTTGAAGGAAAGTATTTCTAGCTTCAAGCTAAATACTGGTTTCTGAAGCATCAACAAAGAACATGGAAGTCAGAACCTGGGACATGAAATGGACCTGACCTGCCTACTCCTATTTAATAAATGCCTGCATGTCCTACTGGGTTGTGGCAGGCAGTTTTAAGGGCTTAACAGTTACATCTTAGAACTAATTTCTCATAATGACCAGAAGAAACCCGTTGATTTCATTAGCTCTCAGGAGTAGATGAGGAAGTGTTTTCAGTGTGGAAGGTGAGCACAGGGCTAAGTCCAATGTTGGGTTGAGTAATGTTGGCTCTCTGGTGATGAGCTATCAGAGAACATGGAGGTGCCCAGGAATCTACCAGGTGCCTGCCGCTAGGAGACATAAGACATGCTCATTTTTGCATAAGGAATGCAGGCAGGCCGTTTTGTGTGTGTGTGTGTGTTCCTGCCTGAGCTGTGCACTCCCAGGAGGTTCTTGTGTGTGTGTGTCTCCCTCCCCAAGCTGTGCGCCCCCTGGAGGTGCTAAGGGGAACACACTGCTGTAGAGACTGTGTGCATCCTCCCTGGCTTATAACTGACCAGCCTCACTCTAGTCTCCATCCAATCATATGTCCCTCATGACCCACCTAGGTAATACAAGGTGATTCCATTTCAAGGTTAGAAGTCAGCTCTCTAAAGGCCCTCTCCAAACGTGATTCAGAGCCAAACTCCTGAGGTTCTACCTTCAGACGACTTTGGGAAGAGTTTTCCACCTGCTGCAAAACCCCAGGTGACTGCTGTGTCCATCCACCAGGGCATCGCTGCTCACCGCCAAAGTGAGCAGGGCTCTCCCCTGGGCGTGTGAGGGCATGCACGAAGCTCTGCTACCTCAGCCATTGAGCCTTGAGGCCAGCGTGTGGAGTGTATTCCATTCTGACCAAGGGGCAGGTGGATACTAAGTCTCCACATTTAGACGGGTGAGGCAGGAGGAGTGCCTGGAGTCTCAGGCCACCTTGGGTGACAGTGAGACCTTGCTCAAAATCCCAAACAAGAAAACAGATGGAAGAGGATTCCACTGCAGAGGCTCCCTGCACTTCCCAGAAGTCCCTCTGTGAGGATACAGGTGGTAGGAACCAGGCAGAGCATCTGCTCTGTAATTCTCTCTCTCCTCTCTCTTTCTCTCTCTCTTTCTCTCTCTCTCTCTCTCTCTCTCTCTCTCTCTCTCCTTTGATTGGAATCAAGGTCAGAACTGCTTTATGCATCCCAAAACAAACAGGATGCCCTGTCTTCCCCAGTGTGGCCATTTTCCAAAGCCTGGCTTCATTTCATCTGCCCTGACTTTGTCCTGTTTGTCCTGACTTGTCAACCCATTTAAGGGAAAAAAAAAAAAAAGCAGTAAAAAGCAGTTTTATTGGTGAGTTTTTATAAGGCAGCTGTAGGTGATTTTTGAGGAATGAAGATGGTTACCTGATGGCATACAGTAGAGGTGCGTGGTGGAACGCGCCTTTCCTGATCTATGCCTCCCATCTGCTAGTGGGCTCGGACCCCCCAGCATCTAAGATCCAGATTTGGGGTGGGGCACTGCTTTTGAAAGTCTTCCCAATGCTCTCCACGTGACCTTAATGCAGTCAGGACCGAGAGTGGCCGGCCTAGGCTCTATCTCACAGCTAAGCAGGACTTGGCCTCAAAGCCAGGCCCTGCAGGTGACTAGATTTTCAGTTTTCAACTTCTTGTCCTGTCTGAACCACTCCGTCACAGGCTGGGGGCACTCACAGACCCCTTCCCTTTGACTACTGCCAGCAGACACTTGTCTTCCTCTGTCTACCTAGTCCCTCAGCACAGACAGGCTAATGCTTGGGTTGTTGTGTAACTAAATGCAGCCTGTCTTAGTTGGCTTTCTGTTGCTATTGTAAAACCCTGACCAAAAACAACTTGGGAGAGGAAAGGGTTTATTTCTTCTTACACTTAATAGTTCATCATCAGGGCAAGCACAGACTGGAAGAAGGCCGCTTACTGGCTTGACCCCTCTGACTTAATCCTACCTTCCTATTCAGGATCATCTGCCCAGGGTAGCACCGCTCACAGTAGGCTGGGCCCTCCCACGCCAATCATCAATCAGGAAACATCCCAGATAATAATGCCTACGGGCCAGTCTGATGGAGAAAATTCCTCGATTGACATTCCCTCTTCCCAGATGACTCAAGCTTGTGTTGACAAACTAACCAGCACAGGGTCCTCCAAGCACAACAGCCATTGACATCTTGATGAGACCAGCTGTCACACTAAGGACATCAGGCCTGTTGCCTTCACAGGAAGGGTCTAATGACACTCCCCCACCCCAGATTCCTTCCTAGAAAGCCCTCTGTCCTAGCTGCATTTGATCTCCTGGTCTGGTCATGGAGGGGAGAGAGGGTATAGAGTATGGTGTGGGGAAAGAGGACCGTCCTCTACACAGCTACGGGCAGCTCATCGACCACCCTGGAGAGGGACTTTTTGATGACGTAGATGTTTGAGGATCACGCAGGCCAGTAAGTAACATCAACAAGCTTATCGGTTTGCCAAGGTGGATTTTTGTGATCCTTTGCTTTCCTTGTTAACTCCCCAGGAGCTGGTCACACACTTGTTAAATTGCACTTCCCCTTGCTGGACTCCAGAGGGCACTGGAGAGCAGACTTCTCACTGAAAGAGGAAGAAGGAACTCTGGCGTGCTCCGAGAAACCAGGTGAAATCTTGGTGGAAATGTGGTCCGGTACCAATGAGACAACTGTCCAAGCTTAACAGAGAAATGAATCTACCTCCTAAAATTCGCTTAATGGCCAGGAAAGTCTTAAGTTTCTTTGAATATGTGATGTAGTGGACTTACATGCAAGTCGTGAATAAGTCTGAACTCAGAATATGATTTTTGTTTTGTTTGAGAAGGGGTAGCCCAAAGTGGCCCCGAACTCTCTGTGTTGCCAAGGATGACCTTGAACTTCTGATCCTCCTGCCTCCACCTCAGTCCTGGCGTTCCAAGCACAGACCACCATGTCCAGCTGACATGATACTGAGGTCAAATCCCAGGCCTCGTACACGCTAGGGGCTCACCGTACCCACTGAGCCACATCCCCAGACGCTTAAGCAAAATGATACACGGCAAGAGACACTTGAACATTTTATCCATGTTTAACTGACAGTGTGACGTCTCGTGAAAGGGTTTAAATAAATAGATTAAGGCTTGGAAGGACTGCTTTCCAACACGGCAGTTCACAGTCTGGAGCCATCAACAGTCTCTCATGGTGTCCCAGGTTTTCTCTCTCTCCATTCAGTGTGTATTCATTCATGTTTTCCCCTCTACCTTTGCCGGATGTCAGTTTTGGTAGTTGCAGAAAAGTGGCTGGCCAGAGTGGAAGGACATTTTCTCCTCCTGGGAAGCTCTCACGAGTCAGTGACACAACTTTCAAAGAAATCTGAGCAAAGAAGCGAACAGCTCATAACAGCAAGAAAAGATGAAGACCGCCTTGGGGGCCCTGGGCAGGGAAATGGTTTTCATATCTCACACGCCAGCACGGCATCCTTAAACAAAGGGGCATAACACGCCTGCCACCTACAAAGAAGCTGGCTGAGAGCAGGCTCACCCAGACGGCCCATGAAGGCTTTCCACATGGAACCCTTCTGTCACGGCCTCCAGCAGGTGCCACTCAAGGTACCAGGGATATGCCAGGCCTCTAGGTCATTGGGAAGACCCTGCAGCCCGCTGAGCAGGCTGCCCCACTTATCAGACTGGTGGCACCAGTCCCCACATGCCCATGAACCGTCCACCGTGGAGAGGCTGACATGCTTTCTTGCAAGAAGAGAAACAGATGCTGCCGGTCTGTGTGTGTTGATGGACTCCAGAGGTGCTAGATAGACTCCAGAATCCAGTCGCTGCCAGAGAGGTGGCTCCCAGGCAGTGAAGAGTCCCGGGGAGGGCCTCGGCCCTGGCCTTCTCGGAGCGAGCCCTGCTCCCGGAAGTCCTCATTGTCATCGAAGAAGCCGTTCTCCAGAGCATAGGCGCAGTCCAGGCTGGAGGCCGCCTGGCACGCTCCCTTGTACTCCTGAATGGACTCATAGAGGCTGTACAGTTGGCAGAGCAAGGACATGTCCAGCTGTCGCAGGCCAACCTTGAAGGAAAGGAGGGGAGGCGAAAGCCAAGTCAGTGCTGAGATTTAATTGCAGTTGAACAGCCAACTAGAACTCTTTCTAGGCTAGCCAGCACGTTCCTTCCCTCAGAAAGGCTAAAGGCAGCATCAGTGGGATGCCGCAGAGCTCCAATCCAGGCAGACACATCCTTCACTGGGCTGCGCCATACCTCGGACCTGAGTGAGGGAGTCCATACTTGGCGGCAGTGAGCCCAGCCTGAATTTGCCCCGGGGCTACAGACACACCCAACGAAGCAACAGCAGTGCATGTTCTGGGCGCCGCCGCTGGTTCATTATGGACACCAAGTCCCAGAGACATTACTGCTCCCCACAGCCACACTCAGAAGACCCACACATGACTTCTTTGCAACCCTGGCCAGACTCCACTTTGCTGTTCTCAGACAGTGGATTCCCCCTGGCCAGGGACAGGATCTCACCAGTCAGTGTGACATGCTGCCCCTGTAGCAACCTCCTCTGCCTCAGGGTTTTCCAGGCCTGGGAGTTCAGATGCTCTCTCTTCTAGACAGGGCTAGTGTGATCCCTCCCCCAAGACGATGAACTATGAAAAACCTGAAAATGCAGCCTTATATCAAGCCTTCTGGAAACTTCACAGAAATAAGTGGCAGGGGCCAAGGAATGTGTGGGAACGTCATGCATCTGTTGTCCAGCTTCGCCTTCCTCTCTCCCTACTGCCTGCCCTGTGACAAAAAGCAGCTAGGTCTGGAAAGGCATGGGTTCCATCGATCCTAAACCCAGGAAGAGGATGATGGTTAGAGCTGCAGGGGACCTGCACACCTGAGCCTTTAACAGGCCAAGAATGGTGCTGGGGGCCAGCCACCTGTGTCAGACAAGATGAAAGCTACCATCACAATGGCCCAGCGAAAGAGTCCTGTAGGACCAGTCTTGGGATGCTAACCTCAGGCTCAAGGAGGGCAGCTCGCCAATGCTCTCTGGGATTTCAAACAGACGTTACCTTGTGACACAAAGTCACGACCTCTCAGGTGTCCATCCTGCAGAGCCCTCCACACTAGGTGTGACCACCCCTCATGCAAACAGACCCGATGTCACTCTCAACCCCGCTTTAGGTATCTGAAGGCAGGCCACACCATGTGGCCCCCAAAGAGCAGTCAGTTTAGGTGTGATAGAGCATGGCTGACATCCCAGACTTGGGAAGCTGAGGCAGGAGGATCGTGAGTTTGAGGCCAGCCTGAGCTACCTAGTGATAGCATCAGAAAACAAAGCAGCCTAGCCTGTTGGCTGTTTGTATTGGGATGGTCTAGCCAAATCCTTCCTCTGCATGGCTCCTAAGTTCCAGAACTCTATCGCAGATATTAATACAGCCTCCACGGCTTGAGCTCTGACTAAGTACTTAAATATGTCTGTCTGCTCCCAGATTTAACTCTGATAAAGCCACACCTGCTAAACTCACACCTGTGTTTGCTTTGTTATCTGAGAGGCTCATCTGACATGTCTCCTACCCAGCCACTCTCCACATCACGTGAAAGACACTAGAATCTGCTTCTCATGTCGAGAACAGACCACAAAAAGACCAAACGAGCTCTGAGCAAAGGGTGATGTTCACCTTCTGGGGTCCCATGGGGTCAGCCCTTGGTGAGACAGAAGCCTCAGCACCACGGGCTCTCAAGCTCTGTTGGGTGACAAGGTCCTGATCCCGCGACACCCAAGACTCACGAAGCAAAATCTTCCTGGATTCCCACGGACATGCCCCGCACCAGGCGGTGAGTGGAGACTCTGAACGGAGCTGCCTACACTGGCACACAGGAATGATTCACAGAGCTGCCCTGTCATTGGGTGTGACGGTGGCCTAGAAACAACTGACCCACCTAGAGACCCAGCATGGTCCTGACACGCCCGTTACACAGCCCAACATGTGCCCAGTGCATAGGCAGATCATACCTCAACACAGAGGTAGATGAGCACACCTGCTCAGCTCCTCATGGCAGCTGCTCCAGGCACAAGGCCCACTTCCTCCCGCTAGGCAGTATTTCCCTGAAGAGGTGAGAGACACTGACATTCTAGCCTCGGTTGGTGCTCTTCAGCATAGGCGTTCTAGCTGAATGAACACAAAAGACCTGTCCTGGTGTAGGGTCACGTTAGAGTGGGAACTGTCCCTACAACCCTCAGGTGGTCTAGAGGCCATGGCTGGACAGGCAACGCTGTGTGCTCATAGCACACCTGCATGGCTCCTGCCACGTCATCAGCTAGAGAGGAGCACAGTGGGCCAGCCTGGGCTCCTCCAGAAGCTAGAGAGGAGCACAGAGCACAGTGGGCCAGCCTGGGCTCCTCCAGAAGCTCTTCGCTTAGGGGTCTGTTGAGGGACAAGGAGGCGAGCATGCCCCGGGACTGAACTGTGGGACATAATGAAGTCCCCCATGTGCAAGAGTAGCTTGCCCTTCTGGAACCAAAGTGTTAAGGAATTGTCCCCGTCCTTACCCATAAGCCAGCCCCTAACACCTGTCACCTGCCATCTCTTGCATGTCCCTGCAGGACAGCACTGCAGGACTTAGAAATGACAGCTTCCTTCTGGAGACATCTTGAAAACTTTAGGCTCATTTAAACAAACCATAGTCACCTCAGCCCCTGTGATTTCCCATCCCTTATTGTGACTTGTAAGATAGGATAAGGGCCGGCTCACTGCAAGCAGCTTATCCTTTTTCTCCTCTTCTCAGGCTGCCGGTTTCCTCTCTGCCAGGCTCTCTCCTCACCCTCCGGCTGCCAGATGGGCCCAGCACATTCTTCCCACCAGAATCTGCTTCCTTTCACTGGGCAGCAGCTCTCAGCCTGTGGGTCTTGACCCCTTTGGGCGTTGCATATCAGACAGTGACAGTTATGAAGCGGCAAAAAAAGAAAATTTTATGGTTGGGGGTCACCACGACAAGAGGAACTGTATTAAAGGGTCACAGGATTAGGAAGTGGTTCTCACCACTGCCCTAGGGGAACTTAACAATAGGCTCGGTTGCAGAAACAGTCTCAGACAGGGTGGTGGCTCCCTGCTGGGTTGAAGGTCTCTAAAGTCCCAGAAACTCAGTGAGGCTGTGGTAGGGGAGGGGTTTATCACTAGGGGGCTGGGCTTAGAGGCCTGGAAGCTTTTCTTTCTTTAGACTGGTTCCCCTGCGCCCTGACTGACCTTAACTCACTTACAGCAGGAGATGACCTTGGATTCCTAGTCCTCCTGTTTCTGCCTCCCAAGTGCTTAAAGGGCAGGTACTCACCACCACCCTCTGCTCAGAGGAGCCCTACAAAGGAATCTTGGGGCCCGGGAGATGGCTCAGTCTGTAAAGTGCTTGCTAAGCAAACATGACCTCAGTCTGGATCCCCAACCACACTTAGAAAAGCCACACACAGACAGGCATGATGGTCAGCTAGCTGGCTTCTTTCTGAGCTAGCAGGTATTCCCCCTAGCAGCTGGCTCCAGACACTATGCACTATATTGGTAAAATCGAACTTAATTAAAAACAGCACACACCTTTGATCCTAGCACTGGGGAGGCAGAGTCAGGAGGATCTCTGTGAGTCCAAGGCTAGCCTGGTCTACAGAGTGAGTCCCAACTGGAGATACATGAGACCTTGTCTCCAAATAAATAAATAAATAAATAAAATTGCACCTTTTTGGAATAAGTCCCTTATCTTAATAAGCTTGTTACCTCGTTATGCCAGTGGGACCCCAACCTCCACAATGGTGTGCCAAGAACAGTCTTCCTGAGCTCCACAGTATAAAGTATTTCTCATTCAAGGTTCAAAATCAGACAAAAAAAAAAAAATCAAGAATAATACACTACTTTATTTACAAAACTAAACAGGAAAGCAACTTCTTCCCAAACGCAGTGAAGAGTCAAAGCAAAACAAACACCCAGGGAAATGTTCTTATTGCTGGCCAGGAGGAGGAGGAGAAAAGCAGGCAATGGGGGGGGGGGGCGTGCTGGAGGAGTCCTAGCCTGTATGTATCACACAAACCTCTAGGAGATGATGCCCACTGTCCCTTGTCAGGTTTAAAAAATTATTGTGTGCTGGGTGGTGGTGGTGCTCACCTTTAGTCCCAGCACTCAGGAGGCAGAGTCAAGCCTGAAATCCCAGCTCGCAGGAGGGTGCCTGAGGCAGCTTGTCTTGCCAAAATCAGCAAGCTCCAGGTTCAGTGAGAAACTTATATAAATAAATAAGTAAACATTTGTTTATTTGTTTGTTTGTTTTATTTTTTGAAACAAGGTTTCTCTACGCCCTGAAACTTGCTATGTAGGTGGGGCTGGCCTCAAACTCTGTGATCCACCTGCCTCTGCCCCCAAGTGCTGGGATTAAAGACAGGTACCACCACACCCAGCCCAAAATAAATATTTGTTTAAAACAAAACAAAACGAAGTAAACAAACCAAAAAACCCCTGCCGCTGGGTGCAGTGGTGTGTTCCTATAATTCTAACTACTCAGGAGGCTGAGGGAAGAGGATCAGGACTCACAGGCCAGGCTAGGTACAATTCAACTGAAGGCCGAAGGCCGGGAGTGGTGGGCACACCTTTAATCCCAACAAGGGGGTCGGGGTGGGGTGCGGAGGAGCAGGCACATCTTTAAGCTCAAGGCCAGACTGGCTTACAAAGCAAATTCCAGGACAACTAAGGCTGTTACACAGAAAAACCCTGTTTTGAAAAACTAAACAAAATATTCAGCTGGAAAACAAACAAAACTGTCATCCAGCCAGATAGGAGAATTGCTAATTCCCGTGTGTGGCTCTATCTGTAAGACACATTTCTGGAAAAGACAAGTTAGGGAGAAGGCCCAGGTGGCGGCAAGGGTGGACTGGGGTGAGGCGGCAGACATACAAGTCAGTTCCATCACACCCAACCTCAGAGCACACATCTGAAGCCAGGTTAAAACGGCCGTGAGACGGGCCTGCAGGAGATCCTCTGGTCAGGCCAAGAGAGCTCAGTCAGTGTCCCGAATCCCAGGCCTGCAGAACTATTAAGGCAGGTCAGGACATGGCCATCCGGCCATCACACTGCCAAGGTCCTAGGTCCCTCTCGTGCCTTCAAAACCAGTGCGCACGGCTGAGAGGATAACTCCTAAGAGTCATCTCTCTGCAAGCAGAAAGACCTGCAAAGAACCTGTGTGCCCAAAGCGGGTGTGGTACAGGAGTCGGCTACACAGTCCTGGAGAGACAGAGAAAGGAGGACCCCTGGGTCGGCCAGC